CACTCCCTTCCTGGTTTTTTTTTTGTCACTAAACCAAAAAACCAAACTCACTGCTGTCAAGTTGGATCTGACTCATAGCGACCCCTCCTTGGGTTTCCGAGGCGGTTATCACTACGGAAGTAGGTTGTCCAACCTTCCTTCCGAGGAGTGGCTGGTGGGTTTGAGCCCCTAAACTATTGTTTGGTTTTAAGAAGACTTCAGGGGACGTTTTTGGTTTAAGGTTTAACGATGATCACAGGGCAATAACTTCAGGGTCATTTCTCTGTCTTCATCTCTCTCCTCTGCACTAAGAACCCGAGAGTCCTTTGGCCCCACACTAACAGCACCGTGGCCCTCTTGGCTTCCCCGTTAGGCTCCGTCCTCCCTTCTTTCCCACGTCACAGCTTCCTTCCTGAGAGGGGCTCTTTTTACTGTACTCCTTTAATTCTGTTTTTCTCAGTGACTGTCAGTGCATCGGAACGTAAAATGCAAAGTCCGTCGATACTGGATTTTACCAGGAACTCTGCCAAAGAGGCCTTTGGGTTTTTTTTGCATCATTTCATTATATTTTGTATATCATGAGACCTCTCTTTCTGTGACCCGGATTAAGAGGCTTCTCTTTCTTTAGCTAGTCTCCTCCGTCCTGTAAGTTAGGTCATACTCGGCACAGTGAGGACCCAAAGTCGGCACTTTGTACCCCACCAGCTGCTCTGTGGGAGAGAGATGGGGCGGTAGGCTTCCGTAAAGATCTGCAGCCTTGGAAGCTCTCTGGGGAGCTCCTCTCTGTTCTGCGGGGGTGTTGTGAGTCAGAATTGACAGCAGTGGGTCTTGGGAAAAGCAGACTGCCTCATCTTTCTTCCGCGGTTTTGGTTCGGTAGCCTGTGGTTAAAGCATTCAGCTGCTAACCAAAAGATTGATGGGTCAAACCCACTGGCTGCTCTGTGACAGCCTTGGACACCCTGTGGGGCAGTTCTGCTCTGTGCTCTAGCGGTCGGAATGGACTCCATGGAATAACTTTGGTTTGGTTATGTGCCCATCACGGTGGGAAAATCTTTGCTGCAGTAACAAGGATTCCTCAGATCTAATTATCCAAAGCTTGGTTGGTTAAAAAAAAAAAAAATCAAACTCACCGCCGTCGAATCGGGTCCAACTCATAGCAACCCCTCCTTGGGTTTCCGAGGCAGTATCTCTACAGAAGTAGAGTGCCCAGTCTTCTTTCTGAGGAGTGGCTGGT